AGACAAGATCACAACAAAATTCAACCTGAAAACGTCTCAACCGCCTAAATCGCCGCTCCCTACCGTTCCAATGACTCCATACAGCGGGAAGGCGTCCCCTAGGCAGATACAGGAGTTCCAGGAGAAAGTGGGCTCAATCCTATGGCCAGCGATGCAGCGTTCGGAGATCATACAGATAGGAAAAGCTCTGAAGGTCTCGTTTGCCTCCTCTACGGCGGTCCCGTGGATTGGCATGCAGGCAAGCAAAAGACCGTTTCAACCTCTACCACAGAGGCGGAATTACTCGCTATCTCTGAGGCAGGCAAAAGCGTATTCTGATGGAAGCGCTTATTCAACGCCTTGCAATTCAACCTTCAACATGAAATCTCTATCAAATGCGACAACAGGCAGACTGTCCGTATTCTCCAGAGCGAGGATTCATCCTTGCCTACACGCCTTCGTCATATAGATATTCATCAACACTGGCTCCGTCAGGAGGTGCAGAACGGTCAGATCGCCGTCGAATGGGTCGCCACGGCTAACATGCCTGCGGATGGCCTTACCAAGATCCTCCCGATTCAAAAACACCGAAACTTCATGAAGATGTTGAATCTGCACGAATTCATCGACAAGGAGGACCCCTATACAAGTGCCTAAACTGGCAATCTATTCAGCTTCATCTACGATTCAGCTGAGGAGGTGTGTCAGCGAATATGGGGCAATTTTACCGCCAGGATTCAACACCTTGCCGTTTCCGTCTAGATCAACTCTGACGGCATTTCATGGCTTCGAGATAAGCCGATTTCAAAGAAGCCACGTAGTCATATTGCATGTTAAATAGCTTCGTTTCGATCCTCTAGATCAAGAGGATCAGACCTTCATTGAGCCTCGATTCTGCATACAAATTACTAGGCAATACGAAACCTAATTGTTCCAATAGTAATTCAGGGTGAACTATTGCAACATTACAACATCCTAGTATACTACTGTGTGCTCGGATAAACCCAGCAGTCTATAAAGCATTCTACAGAAAGAATGTTAATCAAGTCTAAATACGGATAAGGCTTCATATCAACTTAGCGCAGAACGAACTGTTTAATGTGGCAGTTTCGGGGGCGTGGCAGGGATGACTAAAGCGCTGAATTAACTACGTGATCTTCAACTATTCGATTCAATATGAATGAAGGTCTTGATTTCCTAACTATGCGATATAGCTCGTATTTGTGCAACCTCTGGAGATTCAAAACAGATAATCAAAAATGATAGATTATCTTCACATGAATCAGCAATTATGTTGAATAATTGACTGATCACTGACGAAAGAGATAGGGACATAGAAACGGTTGAGTACTAAATAAGTAGCCCTTCCTCGGTACAGCCTGGGCTTAATCCTCTCAGCATCCAAGGGCTCAAACAACTCACGATCCAAAAACCAACACGCATCCTGACCAGTAATATTCGGCTCGCTAAGAGAACCCTTTCCACAATCTTAACAAGATATGGCGAGGCCATCTACCCGGTCAAGGAGCTTTATCAATTCATGGCGGATTGTTTCCAGCTCCTTCTGGGAGCCTTTCCGCTGACCATTTGGGCCAAGCTTCGGGCTGTCTGGGTCGGGAGAGTATATGGCCCGGGAAAACAACGCCTGGATTGCATTCCAGGCTGTCTGCGCCCAGCCCTTTACAGTCTCATAGGCAGAGACCAATTTGTTCCAGATACCCTTGATAAAGTCCACAACGGCCTGGGCGACCCTTTTGATAGCCTCGCCTATGTTCTTGAAAAAGCCAATAACGATATTGAAGGCAGCGTTGAAGCCGTTGGCTGCTGCTGGGCGGCTAGCCTCTGGCAGCTGTCCGATAACCGCGATGGCAGCATTGGCAGCGTTGTCGATTGCTTCATTAGACTCTTGTTTCAATTGCTCAGCATTCGCCCATATAGCCTCCTGCCAATTTGCCTGAGTTGGGCTCGGATCATCCTTCAGCTTCTCGACCTTCTCGCTAAACCGGTTGTAGTCCTTCTCACACGTTGCAACACACTGCTGATTGATGTCTTTCAGCTTTCCCTCCACCTGGGCATCCCGGAAGGCGGTCACCGAGCCGCGGAGTGTAGCGATGGGGTCTATGCCGACCACATATTCTTGAGCCCGGATAACATCAAGCGTAGTAAAGTCGCCGGTGGTTACTGCTTCCTTTGCAAAGTAAGCTCGTTGGCGGATCTGTTTCTCCCAGCTGTAGGCAACAGACATGGTGGTGGCTTGGTTATGAGACCTGGCAAAGTTATTTTATAAACGTCGCCTCCTCCTTGATGGTACATCTCAGACATACCTTGTAAAGATATAGAAATCCTTAAAACCGTTGAATCTCTCTCCGAATCAAAGCTGGAAAGCAGGAGTATAGCCTGGTTATTGAAAGGGTATATACAAGCCCTGGGGGTTACGAGATACTTATAGGAAGAAAATATTCTAGGAGCTGTGATCAGCTGGCTTTCCCCCTGATTTCTCTTGGGTACCTTTCAGCTGAGCCCATTGCCAGCCCCTCTTCCACCACCCCCTCCTCCTCCGTATTTCCTGAACATAATCCCGACGATTTACGACGTTACATCGGTTGCAGCAGCCCTCAGCTCCCTAGCGATGCATGTGAATCTTGGGCGTAACCAGTTTCTGTACACATATAGAAGGTAGAACTAGGTGTCTCAGTTCAGCTCGCTGGCGATATGCATGTAAATCTTAGACGTGGCCAGTTTCTGTACAGATATAGAAGGTGGAACAGGTGTCTCATTTCAGCTCACATAGCGATCATGCCCATGTCAGATATGCAGTCTACAGGGAATACGTGCATATTCCCAATTCCAAATACTCCAAACGCGTGTCTCTTGAGCCCGAAACCTCGTACCCTATTTGGTCAGAGGCAGTAGAGTTGGAGTGGTGATCGATCGCCCAACATTATGCTTTTGGTTAGACCCTAATAGGACCTTTGTAGATGCTAAAGGTTCTCATGCACGCATTTCAGCCAGCCAGCTTCATTCAGTCCAACAGCTATGCACATTCCCACATTTCTTATCCCTTGGAAGCTAATTTTAGGTGCTCTTACACGCCTCGGTAGCTTTTATACCCATAGAGTGAAAAGAGGGGCCGTTGAGGTGCCTCATACACTGATACGTACTAATATCCAGTATCTGATCTTGAGACATAAAAAGGAGGTCAATATGAATCCTAATATCAACATTGATCAACTATACTGGATAACTAGGTCACTTATCAATAGTACATACGCAACTCTCCCTAACTCTGGCACGGAATGGGGACTTTTCCAAGTATTGGCTGGATGAAAGGCATGCTCCACAGTGTATTTAACCTTGGTAAGCGTAAAAGATAGCATTGGTTACGGCCGCCTAAAGTTTCTCGTTACTAATTTAGTACATTGGAATTGTCGGCACGGAATGAGCATTGCAGCTGAGACATAGACCAATAACTGGTCTGCCCTAATATCTACACTCACTATTCACTGTGTAAATCTACTCTCCTGGGATGTTGCGAGAAGTGGTACTTTCGAATAACCCCTGTAAATCACTCAGCTCAAGACCCACAGGCAATATCTCTATTAGGAAAGAATACTATCGCTTCATTTTAGCCGTCCAAGCCGGGTAGTCCCGGGCCCGCCCCCTGCAAAAAAAAAAGAAAAGAAAAGAAAAGAAAAGAAAAGAAAAGAAAGGGCACGGTGGAGTGGAGAATGGAGAGTGCATTAATAAATCTAGATACTTTCCATGGCTCAGCTGAACCAGCGTTAATATTACATGCACGTTACAAATGCAAGCTTCTACCACACTAGTTACCTCGGCTCGACCCATATATGATCAACCAGGGAGGTCAATCATTTCCAGCGTGTTGTCATCAGCAGAACAGCGCCCTATATATTATGCCGCTAGGATATACTTGGGCTTTATATTCAAGGTTTACAAACAGTGTTGCACGGATTGCGTCCTTTTTTACATACCAGAGCCCTCTTCTCCTTAGGAAAAAACACCCCATATTGCCCTAGTTTTGCCTTGCGTGGTTTTGTATCCAGTATACGGGTAGGGCCCCTCGCACTCTTCTCCCTTGACCTACCCACTGCCAAGCCCGTAACAATATCATCTACTACATGTAAATCTTTTACACTATAATTTAGCTCCTAAAGAGATGAACAAATCATTAATATTACTATAGGAGAGTTAGAATTCAGAATGATTTCATCAAGATACATGAAAGGTAAGTGGAATATTGACAGTATTCGCACCAAATACTGTGACAGTTATAAGAAACAGTAACCTAATATAATTTGATAAATCAGCATTTTTATGTATCTTGGCATGGCCTAATTGGGAACTTTATGCTGAAATGGGTTCTTGGCGGGTAACCCCCAACCCGCGGGTTTATGGGGTTGGGTTCAGTGTTCAGTGTTCAAACCCGACCCATGGCGAGGTCTAGTTAGCGTAGCGGGGGTCTGAAAATTTTACGATCAGGGCGGACAATTTCTGGTTCTTATAGTTAGATGGGTAAGTGAGTCACGCGGTACGTATAATTTGGGGACTCTATTGAGTCTTCTTCTTTATCCAGCAGTCCCTGTTTTCCTCGAGTAACTCGTTAGTTACCCGTTATTATTCTGTATCAGTAGTGAAGTCTCCAATTGACTTAAATGCGATCCTATATATAACGATGCCCCAAGAGGGATGCCGCAGCATGGCTCCCGCGCTTAGATAGTTAATCCATTGATCGTGGATCCTGGCGGCTTCGGCCTCAGCGGCGTAACGGAGTGAGAGGTTTAGGTTACCGGACCTAAACTGTCTAGTAGCTACAAAACGCGTTTAACCAAAGAAAAAATCCCTGTTTAGCTGTATGTTTTTTGTTCTACTGTTTCCGTTCTCTACTTGATATTCGAAACTGTAAGACATCAGTAGGTACGCATTATACCAGTATCCTGTAATTTAACGATGACCTTGCGGTCCTTGCTGAGCTCCGACGGGGTGGTCAAGACAGTGCTAGAGGAACCGTAAGAAAAGGTCGTATAGGCCGGGGAAGGCACGTTGCGGACTACAGAAGCTCAGAACTGGTAATTCTGCTTCTGAATACTTGATTGAGTGTAATATTTTTGTTTTTAAACGGTCTAAAAGGTCTGCCGGATATTGGCTAACTTAGAGCCGATACAGCAGTTAGCGATCAGAATATTTACAATTTTGCGTTACAAAAAATTGCAGATATCAGCTATTTACTGTATAAAGCTGAATGCCGGTTTAAAAAGCTGTTTTTCATTCGATTTGTTAAATAAAAAGTATCGTTGCGCATCTTTATTGAAGTTCAAAACGCAGTTAAGAAAATTCTGATTATGCGCGCTTACTGCCTCAGGAATCCCTGAAAGGGCCGGCCACAAGGGTTTCGCCCCAACCATATCGATATCCCCTATAAAGTTAGGCTCAATCGATAGCGGCTAGGGTTGATAGTAAACTAGCTGATTCTAGAGGCTGTAGCTGTCGTGGTGGTTGAGTAATTTCAAAAATTAGGTTCGCGTCGAAGTTGTTGTTTTCATGGAAAAAATATATGCTTGATGCACTTGAAGCTGGCCGATTGAAGCTAGATGAGTATTACTCTCAGACTGATAATATTCGAGAGAATATTTACGCGGTTAATACAATGCTTGCGCCTGTTAATAAATTTCAATTATTTCTGACTAACGATTGGGATCAAAAGTGGCGCAATATTTATCGTAAATCCTTTCAAGAAGCTCTCGCTCCATACCAGAATCGTCTTTCTGATACTTAAGGATCGCAAGGAGGCTCTCAAGTGGCAGTCAGGCCAAGTTCAAAACTTAATAAGATATTAAATGGATGTCAAAAGCGGCCAAAGACAGCTACCGATAAAATGACACAATATCTTGACAGTAGTATATTTTAACGAAGTGTAAATAAAATAGTATTAACCGATTGATAGATATAATTGATATTGGACCTCTTGCGTTCTGGAGAGAAAACCAAGGCTGTTTTCCGGCGATTGCCACTTTTGCGCGAGACTTTCTCTCAGTTCCAGCAATCGGTACTGGTGTTGAACGACTATTTAATACTGCTCGAGATATCTGTCATTATTGACGAGGAAGAATGAAATTTGAAACGATTTAAGAGCTAATAATGTTTCTCTGTACTTTAAGATTTGATCTTGAAGAAAAAGAGTATCAGCAGCTAGAGAAATTTTTCTCGAGAGAGGAGATTGAAGCAGCAAAGGAAGAAAAGGACCGAAAGCTTAATAAGATTGAAGTAGAACCAATCAGTGATACTGAGAAGTCAAATAACAAATTAAATGATGAGATAGTGGTAGAAGTAGCTCCTTCTTCTACTGTCCAGGATTACACTAAGTTTAGCCTGCCAGAGAATATCACTCAGCTACGGGCGTCAGGACGGAAACGCAAGAGTCGAGAGGGTGATACCTTTGAATGTCATTAATTAGTGATAGTTATTTTAATGTATTCTTCTTGAATTAAAGCTCTAATCATATTCCTAATTGTGTAATAGTTTCAAATTGAATAGTAAGATATAAAGGAAATACTCAATATTACAGCTAGAAATTGCATAAATTATGCAGCCAGGGAACATAGGCATGCTTGTACTGTTTGTGGCCCAATTGGGGGCCCAGGGCCCATAATGGGCCAAAGGACTCGACCCATGGCCCACTGTGGGCTCTGATAAAGCCTAAACAAGAGTCAACAAGAAAGTCTCCCCAGGAGAAGAACTTAGATAAAGTAACCCTCGCGTAATGGGTGCTTCCATTTATACGCTACCTCTAGACTTCGGCAGGACCCATGGGTACCCATGGGTACCCATATAAAACCCATCGATGGGTTGGGTTTTGGGTCCAAGTCTCCGACTGTCAGGAACCTTCCGGTATATTGGGTCACATGACTCTGTCACGTGACCCACAGATAGCAGACATAAATAGTTTCTTCACGCAGAACAAGCTGCACTCCATGCAGCTTATTCTTCGTCAATGCATACCTACGTTTCTTGAGGTCAGTGCCTTACAACAGATGATACCGGATGACGCCCTGGAGCAGGCCATCCGTGACGAGCGTACGTTAACTACGCAACTCTGCATCCTCGAGAACCTGGAAGGAATTAAGATCGTTAACCAAGTGTTAGCTGCCAACCGGTCTGCCCCCTCACTGGAAGGCCAGCGTGCCCAGGCACAGGAGCTAAGTGATAACTGGTCGTTACAGGATGGACTACTCCTGCACCAGGGACGTCTAGTGATTCCAGAAGAAGATCTAGAGCTGCGCACCCGACTTCTAGAGAAAATATACAGCCAGCGTTTGACTGCCTACCCGGGACGCATGAAGACCCGCCGCCTTTTCCAGCAACGATTCTACTGGCCGGGATAGGGTCGAGATGTAGACCGCTACATCTGAAACTGTCAGTGTCAGGCAGATAAGGTCCCTAAGGACAAGACCCCCGGTCTGCTCCAATCGTTACCGGTTCCCGTTCGGCCATGGCAACACATCTCTATGGATTTCAAAGAGTTCCCGAAGGACAAGAGCGGATTCGACATGGCCTTTGTAATAGTATATCGATTAAGCAAATAGCCAGTGTCAGTTCCCTGTCATAAAGAGATTGGAACACGGGATATGGTACGCCTCTTCATTGAACATATCTATCGATACTATGGGGTACCGGATTCTATTGTCTCTGACCGGGGACCGCAATTTATCTCTGAATTTTGGCATAAATTCTACCGAATCCTGGGTATAGAGCTACAGTTCAGTACAGCTCGACATCCGCAGACAGATGGTCAGACTGAAACAATTAACCAGCATATTGGAATACGTTTACGACCATTTATAAATTACTATTAAAACGATTGGGGGGAACTGCTGCTAATGTTAGATCATGCTGCCGCTATCCTGGTCCAGGAGTCAATACAGATGACCCCCTTCGAGGTAATGCTGGGGTACCAGCCCCAGGCCTCGTTTGATTGGGATCGACCTGCTGATGAAGCTCCGGTCCCAGCCTGAATTCGCCTGGAACGAGAGGATGCGCTCAAATATGTTCGAATACTGCAGAAAAGATGGGACTTTGCCCGCAAGCAGATATCAATATCTCAGGAGAGACAAGCGGTCTAAGCCAATAAATACCGCCGGGAACCAGATTTCGGAGTTAATGATAAGGTCTGGCTATCTATGGAAGGATTAAGCACAAGTCGACCAAGCAGGAAACTGGATTACCAGAGGCGTAGACCTTATAAGATTACGGCACAGAAAGGACACGCATTTAAGCTGAATCTGCTTCCGGGGATAAAGATCCATGATAATTTCGCATCGGATTGTCTCCGATTAGCTGCAGATGACCTATTGCCCGGCCAGCGACCCCCAGTGACAGAACCGGTAGAGATATACGGTAAAAATGAATAGGAAGTTAACGAGATCGTAGCAAGCCGACTCTACTACAAAAAACTGCAGTATCAGGCCAAATGAAGTAACGCAGATGATAACCCGACCTGGTATCCGGCGAGCAACTTTATCGGCTGTCCACATTTGGTACAGGAATATTATCGGCAGTATCCGGACAGGCCGAAACCTCCGAAACGTCTAGACGCCTGGTTAAAAACATATAAGGAGGAGGAAAAATTTGAGATTACGCGAGAGAATGAATTGCCGGTTTAATAACAGCGATCGAGAACGATCGCGAGCCTAGAAGGAGGGATAATATTACAGACTGTAACCTGCCTCCGAGGACCTTTCTCGCGATACCCTATAACCTAATTCCCCGATAGGGACTAGCGTCAGAGCTGTCACACATATCGCAACTAGCTCCTGAATAGCTTCATAGCTTAGCTTAGTTTCCTCGTCAAATGCATACCCTACATTCTCTCGATTCCCTATCGTCAGTGTAGCCGTTCGTTACACTTTCAGTGTTTTAAGCCGGAAAATTAACTACCCTTGTAACTGTCTCGATTGTATAATAAGTGCCTGGGCTAGAATACTACATTCTTAGAATTTTCGCGACCAATACTGGGATAATCCCGCGATACCTTGAGTTATATGTAATCGGGATTTATTACATTATTAACTAACCCGAACCCAGAAATGAAGACCCATTCCTAATGTTCTTCCAGCGTAAAAGTAAAACGTACGATCCCAAAGAAGTAACTAGGGTCGTCAATAGTTACGCCTATAATATCTTATCTAATATTATTCCGTTATCTTCCTCGCCTTACTGGCCGGAAGGAGATCTCTTTTGCCCGTATATATTGACCGTCTTTTCGAGGGCCTGTCTCGCTATATTTTTAAGGATAGCGCGTTAATCTTCCTCTTCTTAAATGTTCTAGAAGATATAGTTATAGACTACCGGACTAGTTTGACCGATCCTGCGGATGCAGCCAAAAGCCTGCGTATAATTTGTACTGCGCCAGTCTACTTCCATAAGGATCAGGCTTGCGGCACGAGTAAGAGTCAGCCCGCAAGAGAAAATATTAGTTATAGTTACAAAAATACCGGGACTGCGGGCAGGCTCGTTTTTATAAATAAGGCTGGCTCCCGTCGGCAGCTCTTAAAACTTATTTACCTAGAATAACCGATCTGTAGCGTTTCTCAGGCCGAAATATAGATGGTGAGCGGGATAGTATTTGCAGATTGCCTAATAACGTTAAAACGATTGCTGATACAGAGACAGAGGGTTCAGGACAACTGACGAGATATACAATTACTGTTACGATCGGGTATTGTAACAGAATCACGATCTTGCGCGGTTGGCCGGTATCGGATTCGATACCTAGGCCGTCAATAATCCGCTGAACCGCGACCCAGCGAGACGAACCACGGAGTACTGTATCAATCTAGGAGGCCAACCAACTGTTCTCTGGGTGTAGTAGAATGTCCTCTGCCTCCATGCGTTCTACCGTAGTAAGAATATCCGTAATGGCCTTTCTCTGCTGCTTAGCATGGTAGAGCAGACCGGGAAAAGCTGCGCAAATGCGGATAGCTTGCGTTATACTGCTTAGCTTTATCTTTAGGGTGCCGCGGTTCATTGTGTGCATAACGTTATAGATATTGCCGAGACGGGTATTACGTAGCTGCTTGATATTCTCGCGGTTAGTAGCATCTAGAGGACAGTCGATAAGATATACAATCTGCTCAGGAAAATCCAGGCAGGTGCGGCTGAACTAGACGGATTCCTGCGTCCGTTTTAGAAAGTTAATCGCACGAAAGAAGATGCTAAGGCAATCCAGTATAACATCAATCTAGGTTACATTTTCCTTAACAGAAACGGTATTAAACTGCTTTTTAAACTGCTGAAACAGCTGATAATTATTTTTGCGCGTACAGGGATTAACCCGCTACTGCCGGGTTTCAGTAAGACGCATAAATGCTACCAGATTTGCCGGGGACGATATACAGGGTGTCGCGGACAGAAATCAATACGCAGGAGTCTAACATTTTGCTAACGTCATTAGTTTAAAAACGATAGGGATAGTTTTGCTATACATAATATAACACTTATCGCGAAACGTCCGGCTGACTGTAATACAATAGCTGGTCTTTTATATCGGAGCCTTCTTTGTAGGATCTAGAGGAAATTTCCGAGTCCGACTCATGAAATTGGCAAAACGGCTGTCATAACTCTGGGGGATTGTTAGCAAGATAAACCGGCTATAATGATCGCGTTTAAGATCTTCTCTAATCTGGCGCCAGGCCTCCCGATTCTCTGGGTTTATGGTCCCGAGGCGGTAGCGACTTACGATCGTCTTGTAAAGGAGATTTTCTTACTTTGTTAAGTCCTTTGGGAAGAACTGATCGGCCCCGTTATTGCGCGATTACTATTCTTACGTTAGGAGATTCCGGTAGGAATTCCGGTATCTTAGAATGAAAACTATATCGTAGATGTAAGTATCTTTCGTATTAACGATTAACTTCCACTTATTGTACTAGGTCGCAATGAGGCTGGCGTCGACAAAGATATAGTTCGCGCCCTTGCGGACCTGAAAGAGAACATAGTTCTTCGCAGACGATCGATAGGGATACCGAATGAGGAGATCGTGATCATGTCCGCAGGCTTGATGGTCTGGCTAGGAGGATGGCTGGTCGCGGGCTCGTTACAGCGCAATTTCAATCTATCTTACTGTTAGGATTACCAGATAGGTCACAAGAGTCTGCCCGGAAAAAGTAATTAGTGGGCAAATATAGAGTCCCGCAGAAAGTGTGACGAACGGCTACACTGACGATAGGGAATCGTGAGAATGTAGGGTATGCATTTGACGAGGAAACTAAGCTAAGCTATAAAGCTATTCAGGAGCTGGCTGCGATATGTGTGACAGCTCTAACGCTAGTCCCTATCGGGGAGTTAGGTTATAGGGTATCGCGAGGAAGGTCCTCGGAGGCAGGTCACAGTCCGTGACAGAAAGGAAAGAACTAATCTTGTTAAACCCGACATTGTCCGCAAGAAAACTTCCGTTCTGCAGGTTATCTCTCTCTTGATACAGTATTCATACCGTACCGTACATTTGATAGGGGTAAGGGCGTTACCGGAAACGGATTCCTGGAATAGGGATTCTGGCTGCTGCATCCTTTCTTATTTCCGGCAGAATTCTATACGTATAGCACGCGATATTCTATACTTCCGGGTCGAAATTATTGCAACGTAACGTGTCATTAAACATCAAGATTCTGGTCTTCCATTAGCTCGTGCTATTTCCTGAATTTCTGAAAGTTTAACCTACTTTTTCTCGCTGTTTAGGTCATCAATAATGCTTGCGATATCTTTATCGTTTTCGTGGTCGGGCTCACTGCCCCTGTCACTGGCAGTTGTAATCACATTGTAAGATTCTAAAGGGGAACAATGCGTAGTTAGAAAACAGGTAAGGAACGAAAAGATAGTATAAATACTAACAAAAAAGAAACAATACTATCTGTTCGTGCAGGATTTGCAGTCGGGGACATCGGTTTTACGCGATCCAAAGACACTATAGGCCCAGCCTTAGGAACTGTCGTAATCTCTAGGACGGAAGTCTGCGGATGCAGGTCGAAAACAGGTTCGTCAGGCACTTCTCTGGTCGACTCTTTAACAGTGGCGTTCGGAGGCTACTCGTCAGATAACAGCTCGGGTTCGGCAATAGAGAACTCCTTGCCTGCATCTTAGTAAATACCCTCGTCAGTATCTTTATCGATCTCTTGGCTAGAACTCTAGTCGGAGCCCCTAACAGAAAGACTAGAGGCCCGAGGCGTCAGAAACTGGCTGTCATTTAACTACCGGCGAGTGATATCCTTGTGTTTTCGTAGCTTACCGGCAAACATACTAGCCCGCCTATTAGAGCAAGGAGGTGGGGAGAGGGAATCTTTTCCGCGGCGCCCGGTATTCGAATTAGAACGGGGTAGGGAATCGTCTGATCTAGGGGCGGAGGGGTCCATCCGTGGCAAAGAGCTTTCGAAGGGGTCTAGGGAGGTCTCGGGCCGGATTTTAAAGGCCTGGACGGCCCCCGTAGCCTTCAGAAGTACAAACTACAGGCGATGGAGGGAGGAGACCGGTCTTATCGGGCTCCTATTCGGGTCCAGTAAGTATATTGTCTATCAAACGGATTATAAGGCTTTATATCTACTGATTGCTTAGTGATATGCCTTTAGTGTGTCTGCTTGAAGTGAAAAAGAAAAAAGATAATGGGAAGATTATGTGACGGTCTACAAAGGAGCTTGATATAAGACAAGTTTGTTTATGACTCGTAGTCAAGGAATTTTCCTATGGGGAAGAAAGGCTATCTAGAAGGGAGGATGTAGAGGCTCTATATACTGCCCGAGGCTTCGCCTCAGGCAGGAATGCCTGCAGAGCATCCAGGAAGGTTCCTGGATGCCTACCGGAGGGTCCCTAGATCCTATACTAACTAACCGGAACGTTCCTCCCGAACGTTCCTCCGCACCGGGAAGTTCCCTGGCTTCAGGATATCACATGGCTAAGGATCGCGAGGCGAAGGAGGAGAAGATAAAACAGGGATTGGAGAAGCTCTAATTGGTATAGTAGTGATGGTGGCATCATGGACTCTGATATCTCCAGCATGTTGCCTCCCAGTGAGCCTATGCAAATTGTCAATCTGAAGCTTGTATTCTAACTATTCAATGTGTATATCGATGGAGAAGTGAGCATCATAGTAGCCTTGGGGAGTTCATTATGTAGAGAGGTGCAAGGCAGAAGAGTTGTCCTTTAGATACAATAACATTAGTACTAAATTTAAGAGTATCTTGTAAGTGACGAAGTGGGTATAAATCTTAATTCTAGGTATCCCTACTAATTCTATTCCATTCCCATTGACGACAATATACTTCTTCCAGTATTTAAATGACCTCTATATTCCACATGAAAGCTTCGTATAACAAAATACTATTGCCCAAACCTGTCATTTCTTCACGCTCCTCCACTCCATCCCCAAGGCTCCAACTACTGTCGCACAAGCCAAGCCCACCGAAAGAAAGAACGCCGTAGTCAAAGCCTTATTGTACCCTTCGATCACACGAGGCATATTACCAGGATCAACATGCCGTTCTATATCGGAGAACCCCATGCTCGTCAATGACTGCGTGTCCATGTTCGGTAAAATCCCGCCTAGGCGCGCAAGTAGCTCGCCAGTGAATACCGTCTGCGCAATGGCAACGAAAATGGCCGGCCCAACGTTCTGCGCGAATATAATCAGCGCAATCCCCGTCGAAGCGTCGGCGACAGGAAGGACAGTCTGCACGGCTACTTGGGGGCCCTGGTAGCCGATTCCTGTCCCAACACCTAACAAGGCCTGGTAGCAGATCAGAGAGGCGAGGGACTGGTTCGTGCGTATTGTCGTCAGCAGACCAGCTGCAATGGGACTTAGAATGGCGGTTAGGATCATAAATGGGGTGTAGTATCCAATCGCGCTGGTTAGGGAACTCCCAACGAGGATGGACAGCGTCAGGCCAACTACAATCGGTAGACAAAGCACTCCGGATATTGTAGCTGAAGAGCCGTGGATTGCCTGGAAATAGGTCGGCATCTAATTTGAAAGACTAGTCAGTAAGAGAGAGAATGCATGTAAGACTGAGTTCGGGTATACTAGCATAATATTCAAACACTGACAACGAAGTGTTGTTGCAGAGCCCAAACCACATGCCGGCAAGCACACTTCGAGAGCGCATCACTCGTCCGGGGAGCAGTGCGTTATCGCCCTTTCGCTTTTCCTGCCAGACAAATGCAGCCAGGAACACACCAGATAATACGAACAGAATGATGATTCGTTTGTCATTCCATCGGTATGTCGTGCCACCCCATTGAAGGGCTAACAGCAGGAATGTAATGGCAGGGACAAACAGACCGGCTCCTAGAAGGTCAAGTCGCCGCAGCTTTTCCTTCCATGGCAGGGAGGTGAGATCACTTTTCACGGGGTCCCGGAAAAATAGTAAGATCAATATAAAGGACAAACCTCCGAGGGGGAGGTTGATGTAGAAGCACCATCGCCATGAGAGGTACTGAGTTAGAACGCCCCCCAACATTGGGGCAACAGCCGACGATATACCTTCGAATGCTGCTGCCAGGCCAGTAAAGATCGGGCGTTTGCGAAGAGGAAAACTTCGTGCTATAATGCTATATCGGTATTAATTAGGTTTCTTCTACTGAATGCAACACATTGGGGGGAGAAAACCAACGTGAGGACTCCGCAGATGATACCTGAGCAACCAACACCAGAGATTGCTCTTCCTAAGATCAGCACGCTCGAGGTTGGGGCCACACCGGCGAGCAAGTTTCCCAGCTCAAAGATGACCACAGAGGCGAGATATATGGATTTGATCGGAAAGAGTTGGTACAGCTTGCCAAACATAAATTGAAAGGCGCAGGATGTCAAACGGCTGACGTGCATCAGCCACAGGAAAGCTTAAGCTTGGAGTAACGGGTGGCGCGTATACTATGCAGAATAATACCAACCAGCATCGGCGATAGTCTGAAAATGTGTGGTGATGGTGGGCATCGCTGTTGCAATCATGTTGAAGTCCTAACCATGTTGTTATGTTAGCACGACCTCCCCAAACTGCACTTTATGACACAACGGACCAGTCCTGTGAGAATTAAAGACAGGAAAATGGCAACAAGAATCACGATAAGTTTGAACCCTGATGGGTATTCAGCGTTATCCTCGTCCTGCGGGCCATCCTCTACTTCCAGCTTTTCTGCTGGCTGTGGTATTTCATGGATCTTGGCGTCTAAATTGTTCTGTGAGCCCATTGTTGTAGGCTGCCTTAACAAAAAAGGTTGAATGAGTTGTTCCGGCTAATAACGGCCTTAGAAAAGCCATGAAGAGTGTGCAAGAATGCCACATTAAGTAACGCGAGTATGACTGGGCCACGCAGTGTCCTTACCAACTAGTGGCAATAGACAGAACTTGCATGACCATTCTTCATGCAGGGCAATTCCGGTGCCACTTAGGGCATTCCAGCCCCTGCAAGGGGCAATTAACCGAGAAAAAAATTGATTTATATAATACAATTATTACATGACGTGTACAATTGTCGTATGCTATGGACATGGGCTAAAATGCAGATCCTAGAGGATTATTCCGCTAGATGCATAAAATGAGAAACATTGTATCTACTATACGCTAAGTATGGTAACTAGAATTGAAATAAACGGAACAAAGCCGCTACGAATTCCTGCCGTATTTGAGCAGTAAAGGCGTGTACTGCTCGTGTATCTTTGGCTATCAGGTACAGACACTAGATAAACTTGCTAATGAAGTCTATCCACGAACTTCATCACTTTGTTCCCCGTCTCGCTCTTTTCGAACCCACTTAAGTCTTCCACAAAAGTCAGCTTGAATAAATGACGATTCTCAGGCAGGACGAAGAAGAACGTTTCCAGTTCATAGACGAAGTCCTCGAGAGAAATCGAGCATTGGCTGGCTTCCTTCCGGAGCAACCGGACCTCGAGGACTGTCTGTGGAGATGATTCATGGGTTCCGATGATAACCTGCCATTGCAAAACTCCAAATCCATCTCTCTGCATGAGCTTCTCAATATTATGAAACTCAAAATAAACCCCATACCACTTGAAACTAAACCGACGGTCACGACCTCGCAGACGCAGAATCCGGAAGTGTTTCAGTTCCGATTCAGGAACAACGGATCGCGCCGTTTCTGGTAATGGGTGGATGGAGGCGACATCGCCAGTAATATAGCGCACAAGGGGGTTTCGACGACGTTGCAACGACGTCTGCACGAGGACTCCCTCTTGACCCTCCGGCAGGGGTTTGAGGGCAGTGGGGGAATCGCTTTCCATGACAGAGCTAGGAAGTATTTCGTTCAGGATGTGACGGGTGTCAAACACAAAGTCCGTGTAGCCTGCTAAGCCTGCTTCTCCCGTAAGATCCGGGTTGTGTATCGAGTATGGCCCTGCTTCTGCACTTCCTAAGATGGAGCATATTTTGACGGGACCCAGTGTTGCAACAATATGCTTTTTCTGGCCATCGGTCAGGGGCTCAGATGTATAGATCACTTTTGTTAACTTGATCGCCTTTCGCTTCTCTTCCGGAAGGGTCGAAATATAGTGAATTACTTGGATGACTTGGCTGCCATCGCCGGTCAACACGTTAATATTGTAGTGGGCAATGGCGCGCACGACTTCGTCGGGAGTCATGAAATTGCCGGCGCTGAAGACGGTCCCTCCTGCATTTTCCATAATTTCGCTCATGAGGTCGAGGGACCTGCGCAGCGTGAATAAAAGTCAAGGTCAGCTGCTCCGTTTGGTTTGTTCCTCGGCCCGGATCGAAACGAACCTATACAAATACCCTGAAGCATGCGTTGTCAAAATCCAATCATGCGGCTCTATAACTCCACAGGTGCTCAGAAACTCGCCAAATACTGCGCGTTGCTGACGGTTCTCTCTGGTATCAGATATAAACATCAATGGAAGCCCTCCGGAGCCACCGCCTGTAATGCTGACATAGGAGCTACGCCGGTACTCATTTTGGGGGCTCAGGTCTTTTGTCAATCGCTCAATGACATGATAGCTGAAAGGAGTGAGTGATGGCTATCTAAGAACGGAAACTTGAGCCTTGCTTACAGATTCTTCTTGCTGACCAGAGGCAGTGACTCGAAGGTGGCACGCAGAGCTTCCAGAGATTGCGTATCTGCCGATTGCACAGCAGACTGAATCTTCTCCTGGTCAGGTGGATAGACTACACTGGGGTTGTAGAACGGATGGATTTTCGCAACTGCGAGTATTTCTGCTAGGGGGAAGGTTTTGCGAGCCATCGTGGACAATAGAAGAAATCAGAAACTGAAGATCGTAATGTTCTAGGTAGGTCCAAGGGAATAATATAAGGGATCCGTGGGCTACGTCTTATACGTCGTCCGAACAGCTCGACACGTCCCTCGTCGTGTTACACTACCTTGCATCTCAGCCTTGAATTTTTTTCGTGGCGGCTTGAAAATTACAGATGCGTGAATTATCTTGGTATCCATGACTTTGGCGTAAATTTGCCCATATACAGTCCCATCTCTATATATTGAGAATTTCCCGAGCCTACGGGCACGTAGATGTGGTCCTGCGCACCAAATTACCGATCCATAATTTTACTTATTTTCAGGTGCGTGGCAGGTAGACTGTGTGTAATGTATGGTATGTAACCCCACCTCAATAGCTGTATTTTTCATCGCATTGCGAATATGCAAAGTCAGGGATGTCAGAGATGGCGCTACACTAAGACCAGTAGTGACCTGACGCTACTGTGCACTATTTAACAATGTCAAAATTTTTCACAAGTCCGCGGACCCTGTGAAAAATAAATACAGGTAGATCGAGAGCCAAGTCACACTACGATGCATGTGATTCATCGCTTGGAGCTGACGTTACTACTCCGTATATTGCGTGCGCTGACGACGTGATATCGACTAGTGCTATGGCTGTATATGCCGCAATTTGCCACCCCTGCAAGGTTCGCGTGGTACGTGTTCTGGAGACAACGTCTGATTCGGTATTCGTTGTTGCATACTACCCAAGAAGGGCGCTTCAGCTGAATGAGAATCATGTAGCAATTTGCCTGCATGTAGCCAGCGGCTGCAGAACCAAGTGTATGCACAATGCCTGCTCCTTTCCAAACCGACCGACAGCGCAATCTTCCGCTCGCTTGAGCGTATCGGTGAGCTGAGGCGCTGGACTGGAGGAAGCTTAGCAGGAGTAAATTTCAGCCCCAGGTGAAAAGGTATACAGGGCATGTATCACGGTCAAGTCCATCCCTATAAGTACGGGTTAATAGCCAAGGTATACTTCCATTTAGGAATAGGAACACCCATTACTTGTCATTCTCGTATTAATTTTCCAGGCAGCTTGCTCGTTTGTCTTTAGCAATGATCTCTTCCGAAACCTCTTCCGAAATCTCTCCAGCCAAGCCGGTTGAGAGTATAATCCATCAGCGGATTCAGGAACTAGATCAGATTCCCTATGACATTCGCCACGACCTTCCATTTGTGGTTGCAGATGTGAATCAGCTACTCAAACAACATCAGCGCTGGTTACAATGCATTCCCAATATTGTCCCTTTTTACGGTAAGTATTCGTACATTCTCATCCACATACATCAGCATAATACTAAGGGTAAAATAGCCGTCAAATGCAATCCCGACGTGAAGCTACTCAAGTATATGGCCAATCTTGGAGTTGGCTTTGATTGCGCCTCCTTAGGCGAAATGCAACTCGTTTGCGATTTAGGCGTTGATCCTTCAAGAATCATCTTTGCCCATCCCTGCCACGCTGTCTCCGCATTACAATTCGCAGCCAAACATGAAGTAAGGCGGACCACGTTCGACAACATCGACGAACTAGACAAAATCAAGAAGCATGCCCCCAATATGAAGCTCTTGCTTCGTATTTATGCTGAGGACAGTACTGCTCTTGCTTGTCTGGGCAACAAATTCGGGGCACCGCTTGACACGACATGGGCTTTGCTTGAGAGGGCAAAAGAACTTGGATTGGAGGTTGAGGGAATCAGCTTTCATATTGGTAAGTTAGTCCGATTCCTTGATCTTCATCCCTATGCAAGATTCTTTCTCCAATAGTCCATCTAATCGAATGTATAGGATCCGGCGCATCCAAACCCAAAGCCTTCGTGACAGCCGTCCAGAACGCAAGAGGGGTATTCAAACAAGCGGAGATGCTGGGATTCACCATGAGCATCTTAGACGTAGGGGGCGGATTTCAAGATTCGAACTTCGAAATCATGGCATCGACTCTCCGACACGCCATCGAGAAAGAATTCCCGGATTCCATTCAGCTCATTGCTGAACCGGGGCGGTTCTACGCGCGGCCTTTCTATACTCTGATGTGTAAGGTTATCTCTCGCCGCCGGCAGATCGTCAAGTGCACGCAGACAGCGGAGTCGGACATGCTGTACTTGAACGACGGTATCTACGGCAGTTTCATGAATGCTTTGACAGAAGGCGAGACCTATAATCCGTCCGTAGTCGTGATCCCGGCGGAATACAGGGCCGATAGAGAGCCGGGCCAACACGTATACTCAGTTTGGGGACCGACATGTGACGGCTTAGACTGCGTGGCCAAGCAAATAACGCTGGAGTGCGAGGTGAAGCCTGGGGATTGGTTGAAATTTTCGGATATGGGAGGTAAGTCAACGTGCATTACTTGCAATGGTTCGAGATGGGAGCTAACCCGAGGACTACAGCGTACTCTTTGGCAACTTCCACTCAATTCAATGGATTTCCCAATTACTACCACATTGCATACGTCACGGAGCACATTTCCAATGGACACGGGAAACTGGTTGGAGTTTGCCGGGAGCAGGGGTGCCCGGAGGTGGCTAGCGCCCAGGTGGTAGTATAGTGTGACATGTAGGAAAGCGCTCTGGCTGCTGGAAATATATGTTAGTATGTTTTTGCTCTGTACTCCGCATCTCGTATAGTAATCCTATAGCCTACTAGCGTTCATTTTGCTATTCACGAGGGTATCGGAGTCCAGACTCCATCTTTAATATATATGTATATTGATTGTACCCATCAGTGAGTCCATGCATGAAATAGCCCCTTCGGCCTACCCAATGAGTGCATAATATACATATTACGACTTATTTGGTCCTTACCAAGTGCGAGCCTACATCGAAAGTAGTGCAGGAACTTGCAGAGTAACATGCACAGTCCGTTGCCTTCGGGCGGGGTATGAAGGGCTAAGGACGATTGAATTTTTGCTTAGCATGAACCAGGAACACGCAGACGCAGCCAGCAGATCTTAGACTTGTTAGACCTCTTGGCTTACAGCGGAAGGTCGTATCCCGTGCCTTCTACGATGCAGACGGTGGCGAGCCATAAGCCGAATATGCAGCACTCAGCAGTAGATCAGAATGTGATCTGGGTTGTTCGCCCGGCCGATGACGTGTAAAACGTGTAACGCATTACATTACAAGGAGTGATCCATGTTCAGCTGAGGAATCGGGCCGTCCGTGCAGATTTAGCCCTGCTTCTAACCGCGTCTAGTGATTTGTGGATTATCTTTCCCAGCCACCCAGGCAAGGGAGGACATATTAAATGGAGAAAATCCTCTTAGGTAATAGAAAATAAATCTTCTAACTCCTACTTACAGCAACGGATACGAATATTTTCACTATACACAAACAGACGGAAAGGTCTTCGCATCCCAGCGGACCCTTCGCAAGTGCCGTTCCGGATCGTTGACATGATTACGCGCATGAAGCCACCGGTAGTTATCCATCAGAATGATAGACCCCCGAGGTAAACATTCCGGCGTCAGATGAAGCGTCTCAGCCTTTGCCTTCGATCCGAGTAGACATTCCTTTATCTCCTGCAGCGCGAGCGCAGCCTCCGCAGTCAACGGGGCGACAATATCTTCGCGGAACCGCACCATACTAGGCTCTCCCTCGGCGTCCACAGCCATCAAGCTCCCCACTATATACTTTTTGTTGTCACTTTTCACAAACTCCGGCGGGACGTTGATCTGGAACTCAGGTCGCAGGAGAGCAGCGCAGGTCGACGAGGAAAGGAGCGAGCTGAGCTTGCCGACGTTCATCACAGACAGCGTACCGCCGCCACATCGATCCTCTCGAAGAACCTGCAAGGCAAAGTACCGCGGTGGAGCCTCTTCGTAGCTACAGTCGGTATGCCAGGGAAACTCCTCCATGGTTTCGGATCGGGCTTGATGCGAAGGCGTTTGGAAGGTGATGTTGTTTGGCCGCACGTCCCAGAACCAGCCACGGGATGCACTGTGCGTGATGGGGAGCCCGTGGCCGTGCTGTTCGTGGATTCCAACGAGAAGCTTTTGGAGATACCGACTGGCATTGTCCTCGAATTTTAGACTGACTTTGAGGATGCCTCGTTTCCGAAGAATGTTGGATACATCGGCGATGTGGCTGCGGCGGGCTGCGCAGTGGAGATCGCTTGCTACCAAGTGTGGCAGACTGTGATATATATCTTGGAGGTGCTGTTAGTGTTTTGTTTTATCTCATCTTGATAATGGTCCTCGAAATGCTTGGCTTACTCGTAGTAAAGCCCACCGGCTTGGTGGGCTTGATACTTCTTATGGCGCGATGCATCTGCACTCGAGTCTTGAATCAGGGCTCAGGTTCAGTGGAGGATTGATCAATAGAAAGAAAGAAAAACGGAGGAGAGGGAAATAGAAGGGCTCAGAAGTGACAGTAAAACACTCGCCCATTGAGCTTGTCTGATCAATCCACGGACAGGCATAAGCTACAGCGGGTTCATAAAGAGAGGGAGGGGGGACCTGATAATAGACAGCACAGATTGAGGCAAGGCTCACTCAGCCATACAGACCATTACGTGTCTCATTCCTCGGATCGAATTCGGTGCTACACTTCGGACACGTTGAGGAATTGGCCATGGTCCGTCAACCAAGAGGCCCGGCGCGATCAACACGAGCTGAAGGCGATATTACAGGGATCCATTACCTCTCACCGCTACCAAGTCGTCCTACACCCTCTAGCCTGCATACTCCGGCTTTTCCGGTTGCACTATACAGCCATTTGCAATATTTGAAGGGTCATCAGTCCGTATCCGAATTACATATCCTGATCTTCTATATACTTATCTTGTCTCCTATAGAATTGTGGTGTTTGGTACTCTATAATAACAAATTACGATCGAGTTCAAAATATGTTGGGAGTGGCTCTTCCACACCTGCAATTCGGATAATTTGGAATGTGCAGGCCAGAGGGTGTAATCGACTTAATCAGTCAATCTACACGCAGTGGAGATACCCTTGCTAGCGCCATCTGCGCTACAACTTCAGATGCCGCGCTAATGTAGGGCAACGAAGCGCCATAGATCGGTTGGCGCAGCTGAAGGCTGAGGCGAATTAATCCTAGCGCCTTTGAAATTTCTGCATGCTGCAAATAGTTTTCCGTCGGTAAAGCAACGGGAACCACAGTATCTGTTCTTCATTGCCTCGAAATATCCGGTCATCCGCAGTATTTGCATCTGTGCCTTACTATTGCTCAACCGAGGACAGTAACTAATGAAAATGGCACCTGATATTCTGCATCTCAGCGATCTGCTGAATGGGTTAAGACATCGTATTACGCAGACAACAATTACTCTTTGGAATTTACGATGCAGAAATTTTCAAAGCTCACCAAGTCTCAGCTGCTTCCAGAAAGTTCAATATTGCATTAGTCTGCATACCTCGCATGCTGAACTATATAATACTATAGGCCTAAATTGGAAATTGCCTGTCTATCGGTTCTGGATTGGTGCATGAAGATGACACTAATCTATCTCCACTGCTACCTTGTGTTATTGCGGGACTCGATTTGGTTGAAGGGCAGAAGCACGACATTTGCCACCCGCAATAACATAAGGTGGGGTTGGCAGTAAATATTACAGATATTACTGTAGATAATTTGTGATACAGATCCTCGTAATACCAAAAGTAGATTGCAGAATCAAAGTAGGGGCAAGAAAACGCAAAGGGGATGGGAAAAGCGGCTGAACATAGCCAGTCGCCGATCTAACCAAATGACTTTTATCTCTCCCACAAGATTCCCTTTTCTTATTTTATTCTCTCTATATCGCCTTCATAGTATATTCTCATCCGAAAGGGCTATCCATTCCCCTCATACTCCACTATCAATTGTGCCCCCATAGCGAATTTACTCATATCTCCACACAATGAAGCCTCCCGCACCAGGAACCCTTCAGCAAGTCTACGCCCCCCCCAAAGGAGGGGAATACAAGTCTATATCCTCCTGCGACTCCGAGAAAAGGAAATACCTTCAAGACCACAAGGCTGTTCAAGAAAGTCTGTTGGAATTCTCGACCGCCGATTCATGGCATAAGAGCGCATTAACAGCTTTCGTTCCGCGGCCTATTCTCGTCTCTTCCGAGCACAAGCGCCGGATCAACGAGATCAATGATGCTCTGGTCTCTGCTATAACGGACATTGTCGAGAGGTGGTGGACAGACATAGAGGCGAGATTTCCGGACCGTATGCCTCTGGAGCCTGCTGAGGAAGACCTTCTTCGTGTATGTCTTTCCACCTCCTACCTCTATGATAGAATCAAACCAAGTGACCTTGTATTAGTGGATCGATAGCCAAGTTCCCAATAACCTCCCGCTATTCCGAGAGTGTCGGGGATCGTGGAGACCGGACTTCCTGGTAGAAGAAGATCGCTCTGAGGGCGCCTCTGGCCCTTCGGAGAATTTTCGAATCAGTGAAATAAACGCTCGGTTTTCTTTCAATGGTTATATGTATGCCGCCTGCGGGCAACAGGCACTAAAGAAGCAAGGGATCTGTGAATCAGGCAATGGCTTGGTCGGGACGACGGAGCCTGCCAAGGTAAGTTCACGATGATATATATTACTTGTCTGGGGCTTGATTTAGTAGCCTACAGTAGCTAACAGCCATCCTGCAATAGATACTGGGCGGCATTTTGAACCTGTTCAATCCCGACTTGCCATTGCACCTGCTCAAAGGGGAGGAGTTTGGCAATGACATCCATATCGTTGTTGAGTTCCTCAAACTACGATTTGGAATCAGCCCTCGCTTTGTGCAACCATCCGAACTTAGACTTGTACCTGAGCCACGAGGCAAGGGCGGGTACAGACTCTGTTGCGTGGTGGGAGACGCTGCACTCAAGAACATGGAGAGATTACATTCGGTCAACTATCATGATGGAGAAGCTTTGGAAGAAATCCACCAGGTTGGCCTTGAGCTCCATCAGAGAGAGATCCATGCCCTGAGCACCGAGATGCTCCACCAAATTAGCCTCCGATGCTTCAATGACATGCGCACTGTGCTGCTGGTTCATGACAAGCGGATGCTCGGAATCGTCCAACAGGAGCTCGACACCCTAGTGGAAAGGAATGTGATTACGCTTGCTCAGGCGGCGATTCTCGACCAAGGGATTGCCAGCACAATCCTACCTGGCTCGTTGGAACTCGGCCAGATGATCAGCTCCTGCGAGAGGGACCCTAGCCTCAAGAATGGGTATATCTTGAAACCGATTCGAAGCGGCAAGGGCGACGGGATCGTGTTCGGGGAAGACATTGACTCTGCTGAATGGTTGTCACGATTGGAGGGCTTGCGCTCCTCTCAGTTGCTACCTAGTGGTGGCACTTGCGTTGTTCAGCGCAAGGTTAACCAGATTCGCTACGATGTGGTCTTGAGCCCAACAGGCGTCATGAATAAATACCCCCTCATTGGAACGTACCACACAGTTCATGGTGAGTTCCTGGGAGTTGGAGTGTGGAGAAGCAGTCCACACCGCATCTGCGCGATCAGCCATGGAGGCGCGTGGACTTGTTCTGTGACTGAAGGGAGTTTGTAGGAGTTCAATATGAATTGCTATTGCGGTTAGTAAATACAAATAGTTGTTAGGCTTTTGTTTAGTGTAGAGCCGTAGATATATACACCAGCATACTTGAAGTGGCACTATCAGTCTGATGCGTTGCCTATCTGATGAGAATATATACAAGGTGTTGGATACATCACTCTGTATAGTTTAGCCTCTATATATCTCTACTATTAACTGATAAAATCTTTCCACGACTGTCGTAGTGCTGCGTCAATAGCCCCCATAAGAGTTCAATCTTAAATATCAGACACATAGGCAACAGCACATCCAAAGCAATCTATCCCCAAGCATCATAGAATCTGCCAGCTAACCTCCCGCCTAGACTTCAGCAAACCCCATGGATAGGTCCAACATTTGGCCATTCGCTAAACCTATATAGATTAACTTGATATCATACATACAAACAAACAGACATATACACCAATCAATCAATCAATCAATCAATCAAAATTCTATTAACCTGGTGAAGCCTATCTATTGAAACGATAGGCTATGCAGGCGTTTCGCCGAATGAAGCAGAATCTCGAGCCCGTACGCCGTGTAAACCAAATGCAGTAGATAAAAAAGATCAAAAGTAACACAACTAGACCCGCTGCCACACGCCTGCCGCGTGCCTACTGCGCCCCTAGACGCTGTTCTCTCCTTCCACTCCGTTCTATCTGTGTATT